GACAACCTCGGAATCCTAAGATGAGTTAGGGCTTATATTGTATAGCAGGGCTATGCAAAGGCCTAAAGATAAGGTGAGGATTTACGTTGCATAAGCAAGCAACCTCGAAGTCCTATGGCTTTGTTGTTTAAGTCTAAGGAAGGAATATTGATTTAGCTGAGGAAGACAGTTTTTTGCTGTTGAAGATGGCTGTGCTGCCCACCATACTAGCTCCAAGCTCCTACCGCGACGAGTTTGAATTATCTATTATGTCAAGTTATAATATCAACTCAGGTGGCTTTATGGTTGAAGTTCTTTAAATTTTATGAGGGCATATTAAAGTTGATGAGAGCGAAACCGGTTAGGATCCTACGGTTCCCTCATTCCGGAATCACTATTTTCTATTGGATTCACTTGGTCCAAATGAACTTACTAAATTCAACTTAATGAATTCCATAATTTTATTTAAACCGTGGGAAGCCTCGTTAGCAACCGTATAAAATAAAATCAATTATTCACAAAACTAAATCTCAAAATAGGGAGAAGGATAAAGAAGACTACTTAGAATTCATGAGAATGATATGATAAAACACGGATTTCATTAATAAGAAAAAGTTTACAAAACAAAAGAAATAAACTTATCTCATAATCCTTCCCAAGCAAATCCCTAGAAGTTCTCTCCAAGTCTTTCTCTCTTTACAAGCCTTTACAAGTCTTTACAAGCACTCTCAATTCTCTCTTAGAAGTGTTATGTAAAAGAAATTTGTCACCTTCCCTCTCCTCTTACAATCCTTGAAGAAAATCTCCAAGCCCTTGCTCTCTCTCTCTCACGTCGCACACACACACACACTCACACACATACCCCTTAAACTCTCTACTTCAAGCCCTAGTCTTCCCTCTCTTTTATAAAAGGTTACCTCTTTCCAAAGAGAATTCAAAATTCCTTCCAAAATCTATCCAAAATTTTGAATTTGAAAGACATGTCCATTGATCCAAGAGACATATCCCTTCATAAAAGAACCTTTAAAAATTTCTAGAAGCATTGAATCACTCCAAGAAGTGTTTAGAACAAGTGTCCCTTTGAAAATTCGCCCAAAATTTATCCCAAATAGCCTTAATCCGCAAAAGTATGTATTCTGGTGCATCACGCGCCAGATCTAGTGCATCATGCACCAGTTTGGAGCATCATGCGCCACCCTGCAACAGCTCTACTGTTTTGCTTCGTTTGGCTCTGTTTCAACTCTGTTTTGCCTTGTTTCAGTTGTGTTTCGCTCCTAATAGATAAACCTACAAAAAAACATGAAAATAGTCTTTATTATAAGTTTAATTTCGTTCAAAAACATGTTATAAATGTAAAGTAGATTAAGCAAAGAAAGACATATCGAAATGTGCCAAGTCAAAATTTTCTTTCTTGCTTGTTTTTACTCCAAATTGCACCATTTTTGCTTTATTTTCTCCAAAAGTTTATTTCTTATACCTAAAACCAAAAATATGCAAAATACCTTCCTTTAAAGTGTAATATCATTAAAAATCATTAAAATTGAATACAAAATATATATGAAAAAGTAGGTAATTTTTAGGCATATCAAATCCCCTAAACTTAAATGTTAATTGTCCTCAAGTGATGCTTTTACTACATAAAAATATAACTTATGATAGAGATTAACTTATAAACTTCTTTATTTTAGTTTAATAAATAAAATAGTGAAATTTAAGAAAAATCTTTAATAACTTAGATTCAAACTTTAAGTTTAAGAGTACTTAGTAATCAAATTTAAGATTTTTGAATCTCTATTCATTTCAAGAAGAATTGTAATTTGTCATATCAAGGATAATTAGAACATTCATATGAAAAAGAACTTCATGAAAACTTTACTAGTAATGCTACTAATACTCCAATAAAAGTTTAGAAAATGTAATAAAGCATTTTCCTTAAGTTGATTCAAGTTAAGCCAATTTTTGATTAGGCATCTCCTCAAGCTTCTTCTCACACATTTTTTTTTCTTTTCTTTTCTTTTTTCCTTCCTTTTTTCTTTTCTCCTTCTTTTTTTTCTTCTTTTTTTTCTTTTAGGATCTTTTCAATCCTATTCTTTTTCTTTTTCAAGTGAGGATTACTATAGCTAAGGAGCCTTTACAATTTTGAACTTCACTATCCTCATCTTAAAGTAAAAACTCCTTGCCTTTCTTCACTTTATAAATTCATATTAGTTTATCATTTTTCATAAAATTTCATTATTTTCTTCTTACATGAAACTCTAAAATTTTTTTTACCTCATAAATACAATTTCCTTTACTTTAAATAGAAAAACATAGTCTTATCCTTTCATACCAAAAATCTTTAACTTTAGAGTTGACCTTTGATATTAAAAACATTTACTTAAATTTACCATAATATTTACAAACATAAATATAGTCATTTGAAGTTAAACTCTAATATCCAAGGTCATTTTAAATTATTTTTGAAAATAACAGTTAATTGAAGACAAATAAAATTTAGTTTACTTCTTTTTAAAAGAATTTTTTCTTCCCCCCAAACTTGAATTTTTAAATACTTTACACTTTGTTCCATAAAATATAGCAGGAAGAAAAAGTAAAAGTTGAATCACCTAACTTTTACAACATCATATCAAATTCATATACGTGCATAATCATGATAGAATTACTACAGTAGAAAGTAAATCTAGTCTAAAACATGCAAACATGCCTGCAATAATATTAAAATCATGCCTGCAATAATATTAAACTAAAAGGAAGCATACTACTTCTAAAATTTATTTTTCTTCCTACCCCAAACTTGATTTTAAACATGTATAACATTCAATACATAAAATATAAGCATGAAGAAAAACAGTTCAAAAATTCTATCTATCACAAACATTTATAAGTATTCATCAGAACATATTAAAATGCAATACAAAGTAAGTTTAAACCAAAACATGCTCAATAAAATGGAAAGAAAGATCTAACAAGCAGAACAAGTATTGGCTTAGGAATATATATATTTCCGTGTTCTCCAAATCTTTATATTATTGTAACACAAAAACAAACACAAATGATAAATGAGATTAATTCTTCCTTTAACTCCTTACATCTCACTAACTTACTTCCAATTTCTATCGGAATCACTACACAAATATAGTGGGTATTTATAAATGATTTTATAGATTCTAATCCCAAAGATAAGATTATCCTTGATATACTGGCTCGCGAACACCAACCTCAAGTGTCACCATATCTCAGTAATTATGCACCTCTAACAGTTATATAAATAATGTA